ACACACACACACACACACACACACACACACACACACACACACACAACACACACACACACACACACACACACACACACACACACACACTCATACACACTCACACACACACACTCACACACACTCACACACACTCACACACACACACTCACACTCACACACACTCACACTCACACACTCACACACTCACACTCACACACTCACACACACACACACACTCACACACTCACACACTCACACACACACTCACACACTCACACTCACACACACACACACACACACACACACACACACACACACTCACACACACACACTCACACACACACTCTCTCTCTCTCTCTCTCTCTCTCTCTCTCTCTCTCTCTCTCTCTCTCTCTCTCTCTCTCTCTCTCTCTCTCTCTCCCTCTCTCTCTTTCCTTTATACAGGGTTTGACAAGGTTAGTGATATAAAAAGATTATTGGTGAGGCAGTGGCGTGGGTGAATGATACGTCTTCGGAGGCTTCTTTCTTTATTTGCAAATGTAGTGGTGGGTACACAGGCTTGTGTATTGTGCCCATGGCCTGGGTAGGGCCATGCCCACGAAAGGGAAAACTAGTAGGCCTTCTGTCTTGCTGCTTGGCTGCTGAGAGAGTGAGAGAGTGTGGGACCAGCTTCCCACAGACCTGGAGCAGGCCGAGAGGGCAGCACTTCAGTGGCGCGAAATATGAACTAAGCTGGCAGACAGTATAGGCTGTCTGTGCAGACAGTACAGGCTGTCTACATACGCTCGGCTACCTGCCACATGGTCGTCCCAACCATGTCTGGCGGTAAAAAAAACTAGGTCTCTCTCTCGTAGGAACAGGGCACAGAACACAAAATAAAAAACATATATATAAATATGGACATGGAAAAAAAATAACTTCCTACAGGGAGGGAAGAAAAAAAACATGTGGGGTGTGCTAAACATCATGGTCATAGGCAGTGAGCGTCGAAGGGCATCACTGCACGCCTTCCTGCGTCTGGACAGATACTGCAACACAGGAGACATCGCTGCTGCTGAGCTGTGACGTAACGGGGTACGGTCTCCTCTAGAACGGTGTAGCAGACATCTTAGGAGTCACTGCAGGTTTTCACTCAACCTGGGGCATAACATGCTGGTGCCCTCGAGTGAGGCGTCGACAAAACTCGGCAACTGGGCAGGACTTCTGGCAAGCGACTCAAGAGGACACTTCTTGACTGGTACTGTCACTGGGCTGTCACTGCCGGCGAGCGTGGAGTGAGTCATGGCAGAGATGACTGAGCGAAACATCTGGGAGTCGTAACATCATACACCAGACTGCAGTGAGCGAGCTAGCAGTCAGAGTGACATCATCTTCGTGCAAGCTGCTCACATCACATCAAGGAGCTATCTAGCTCCTGACTATGGAACTGGACTTCTCCAGGCTGAGGGACTGACAACCTCAAATTCTACGACTTCAAGGGTGATGGACTGATTACATCGTCTTCACGTCTCTACTGTTCCTGCCTACTTTCTGTATTCGACTGAAGAAGCCTACTGTGTAGGCGAAACGTTTCGGAATAAAGTTGTCTAACTGTTGCATATGTGTCTTACCTAACAACAGCTATCATGTCGAGATGTCGAGTGTTCACAAAACTATGTGTGAGCTCTCCAACATTAGTAATGAAACCTCTAATGTTGGCCGACAGGATGCTGATAGACTGGCTCTTCATTATGTGGTCAGCTTGAGGTGGTGGGTGTGTAGGGCATGTAAGGTGCCTGCCCTTGAGAGAGGTAGGGTACTGAGGCAGCTGCAGGGATGTAGGTTTGTGGTCTTGTATAAGGCACAAACCACCTCTGGGCGGGAATGGGAGTAGCCGAGACGTTGCATGATTGGGAGTTGAAGTCTTGAATCTTGAGTAGTGGCAGCGGGCTGGTACATCAGAGGGAGAACACATATTGGAGTTAAAGGGAGTAACTGGTTTATTCACCAATTCAGGATCCTGCGGGTTTTGTTCTGAAACATTTTAAAACAGATGGTCCTGTCTGTCAATTTCCCTTTTTTCTTCCGACACGTCCTCCTTTTTCCTTTCTTGTGCAGTAATTGCCCCTGGTATCTCGCAGGCATTTTTGGCAGTGTGCCCCTTCCCTTTGACACGAGAGCACACCCTAGGTGCCGGGGGAGGGTGGACTGTGATTTTTTGCACCTCCTGTGTTTTGCAGATTTGCCCTCAGGTTCTCCACGGAACTGCTTTTTGGGAGGGTGGACGGCTGGTAGATTCTTCCCCTCCACGCCCTTCCCCCCCGTCCTGTCCCAATTTTTTGGATGGTCCCTGCTTTTCGTACTTCGGCGCAGTATTTGGATCAGGTGCAGTGATAGTTCCCCGTTATTAACGCACCAATTCTGGGGGAGAAAATCCGATCAGAACTTGCCCCATGAAAGCACTGCTGCCAGATTTGGAAAAGTGTTGGCAGGTGTGCTGACAGGGGAGGATCAGAGATGGGATGTGCACGTTAGTGGACTGGCAGTGGGGGAAGAGAGATGTCAGGGGAAGGGAAAAAAACAATCCAAGACTTCCTTCGTTCGGGAAGAGGATTTGTTTTCCTTGTGGTGGTCGAAATTTTGTTGAATTCCCAAAAGGGGTGTTTTTTTAAATCTGTCAGTCTTTGGGACCTTAGCGATGACAGAATTCCACCAGTTTTTACCCCCAGTTTTAAACTCATGTGGACTTGTCTTTGGCAATAGTGTCCCCTCACTGAGCGCTTACTCACTTTATGCAGGGTTACAGGGCCTTCTACAATAGCTTGTGGTTTCTTTTGTTTTGAGGAGCTCATGAAGTGCTTCCCCGTGATGGATTATCTTAGCTGCAACTTTACAACACAGCCCAAGAGGGCAGTCTTGATCTTTGGACAGAAGTCCCTGAGGTAGGACTTCTGAACCTTCATCCTGTAGCTCCTGGCTTGTATCCACATATACCACAGGATTATGGATATCCTTCAATTTTCTGAAATTTTCAACCTGGCTGCAACAAAATTCTTCTGGAATGCAATCTGTGTGGCAGTAGTTGGAACAAGTAGGTTCCTTACATCTAAGAAAAATTTTGTCCCTTGTGGTATACCCACAAACACTGCAGTAACTACTGGGACAATAGCCAGATAGCGTAGATATTCTTGCTATTTTGCGATGTGAAGTCATCCCAGAGAAGGCTTGTAGGTTTTCAATGAAGTTCACAGGATAGAGAGGGTGGGTGGTGGTATCGTGGGTGGGGTGGAGTATTGTGGGTGGGGTGGAGTATCATGGGTGGGGGCATTTATAGGGGGGTGGGTAGTGAGGGCAGGCAGTGGGCCGGCGAGCTGGAAGTGTTGCCTTCTCACTATCACTTAATAAACACTGTTTATGCTATCCACTTTTCCACTAAAGGAAGATGTTACACAAATCACTGTGTTGCATTGTACCAGTCACGTTGTTATAAAGCACCAGATGCTAGTACATAGCACAAAACACACATAATATTAGATGCTCTCACTCTCTCATTCTCTCTCATTCTCATTCTCTCTCTCTCATTCTCTTTTTTTTTTTTTTTTTACACAGGGTTTGACAAGGTTAAGGATCCCTAGCTTTATTGACAAGCTATTTACAGGTTAAGGATTCCTCTCATTCTCTCTCTCTCACACACACACACACACACACACACACACACACACACACACACACACACACACACACACACACACAAATCACTATGTTGCATTGTACCAGTCATGTTGTTATAAAGCACCAGATGCTAGTACATAGCACAAAACACATATAATATTAGATGCTCTCACTCTCTCATTCTCCCATTCTCTCTCATTCTCTCATTCTCTCATTCTCTCTCTCATTCTTTCATTCTCTCTCATTCTCTCTCATTCTCTCTCTCTCATTCTCTCTCATTCTCTCTCTCTCATTCTCTCTCTCTCATTCTCTCTCTCTCATTCTCTCTCTCTCATTCTCTCTCTCTCATTCTCTCTCATTCTCTCTCTCTCATTCTCTCTCTCATTCTCTCTCTCTCTCTCTCTCTCTCTCTCTTTCTCTTTCTCTCTTTCTCTCTTTCTCTCTCTCTCTCTCTCTCTCTCTCTCTCTCTCTCTCTCTCTCTCTCTCTCTCTCTCTCTCTCTCTCTCACACACTCACACACACACACACACACATACCCAGCTGTCTCCCTCTGAGGTATGGTGTCTACAAAAAAGGAAACACATGTACTGTCATTTATATCTTGCCAGAAGTGTGCTGACATCAATGTTGATAATTCCAAACTGCATCCAAACTATATCCTCATCCTTCTTTTAGAGTGCAGGTGTGTGTCTGTATGTAAAATACAGTATATAATTTCTTTTTAACACAGCGGTTGTCTCCCATGGAGGTAAAATGATGTGACAGAAAAAACTTTCATTGTCACTCACTGCATTGCCAGAAGTGTGATGACATTATAGTTCTGATGACCTTCCATACAACAATATTCTGACCCCTCCTTCAGAGTGCAGGCATTTTAGTTTCCACCTCCAGGACTCGGGTCTTGCTAATTAGTTTTCCTTGAATCCCTTCATAAGTATTAAATTGCTTACATTCCAACAGCATGTCAAATCATAAAATCCACTTGATTCTACTCTTATCTAACACATGCAAGCCTGTTGGATGTCCAAGCTCCTAGCACTCAAAACCTCTTTTTACCCCCCCCCCTCTCTTCCATGCTTTCCTAGGATGACCCCCCACGTATCCTTTCCTCTGTCCCAGATTTATATGCCCACCTAGTCATCGAATTTTTCCCCATCCTCTCTAAATTTCTAAACCACCTCAACAACCCCTCCTCAGCCCTTTGAATGATACTTTTGGTAACTCCACTCTTCTTATTCATTCCCCAGACAAATCAACACTACAGTAAATGACTCTCATTCTTATAACTTTCCTTTACTGTTAGTAAAAGATTTTGCCTTGCCCCTTATATTGTACAGTGTTGTGAATTTATTTATTTTTTTCCACTCAGAGACCTGATAGATAGAATTCCTAGAGTTACTTTAGAAGATGTTAAGCGTGTTGCACTGAAATACTTCACACCACTTGTGCAACCCAGCACATCTCGCACCGTCATTGTGTGTCATCCATCCAGTGTTCAAGAAACGGTGACTGAAATGAAAAAGTAAGTATTTTTCTTTTAGAGGCAATAATGATAAAATTGACTATTGGTTGAATAGTTCAGTTGTTATCCGTGTCTTACTTGCCTTACACCTTATGGGAACATTTTTTCTTGAGTGTACCAGTTGTCACCTGCTTGCTTGCATTAAAATATAGAAAGTGTCAAAAACTAAGATTCCCTCAGCAAGTACAGCACAGTATAAGCATGTAAGAAATTAATGATACTAAAAACAAATTTATTTACTTGTACTGGAAATAAAGGGCTGTACAAGCAAGCCCTGCTGAACAAAAGATCAACTAATGTAAACTCATAATGATGTAATATGACAGTTTTCTTCACCATAAGACCATACATAGGTTTAACATCATTACATCACACCAACTCCTTTGGAACCAGACTCAAGTAAAATTGAATCCGGACACCTAGCAAGCATGCCTGGGGAAAAATAGTACAGGTCTCCCTCATCATTCACGAGGGTAAGAGGATCAAGAACCTTGTGAATATTGAAAAATTGCGAATGTTTGGTGCCCCAATATATTGTAGGGAAATATAATACAATACTGCTTCCATAACCTATTGAACCATGAATAATCATAAAACACATGAAAATATCGTAAAATATTGTACTAGTGCCAGCCCTTTGGTAAAGAAGGTGAGAAAAACTATACAATTCAAGAAAGAACTCGTAGCAGAGTACCAAAGTGGAGGAAGAGAGAGGGGAGAATGTGCCTTCAGTGGTTCAGTGATTCTATGATATGTGCGATACTAAAGCAGCATAAGTTGATAAAGGCTATAGCACCAGCTAGCGATAAAGTGTAGCATTAACAGTGTAGCAAGTAAGTTAAGCGATTAATCAATATAAAAATGACAGCACAAACCTAACTTCTCCAATGTTGTTGGAGTTATATAGGGCGACTGACAACACCGCTGTCTATTGTCTCTACTGCCTCTGATGCCGCCTTCACCACCACTATGTATGGCTTCTGTCTCAGTGGCCCTTATACACAAAGCAGCAACAACACAGCAACACTCGTGACATACTTAATGACGTATTTTATTCATTTTAGAGTATATGTCATGTTTCTATGTTATTAATATTGTTTATTATGTCATATTAGATGAATTGTGATAGATAAATAAGCCGTAGAGTCGATATTAGTGTCATATTGAAGGACTGTCTTGTCCCATCTTCAAACAAACTCTGCCACATTGACAGTTTCTAAGATATGTAATGACATATTTTAAATATGATTGGGAGGCTGGGAATTTGCAAATGTTCAAAGCCCATGAAAGTGGAAAATGTGAATGTTGAGGGAGACCTGTAGTAGCATATAGGAGTCACAGATGCAGGAGCCAATCTTACAGATAAGGGCACAATTGTGTATGCAATTAGTAGCTGTATGAGCCTAGTCGTGGATAACAATACATAGAATATAAAACACATTTTCCTGTTCAACAAATTCATGCATGAGTAACACACAAATGCATGAATTTGTCGAACAAGATGTTTTATGTTGTGTATTGATTGTTTTCAACAGCTGGGCTCGTATAGTTGTGAAATGCATACACTATTATGGCCACATATATGATTGTGCCCTCATCTGTAAGACTGGCTCCTGCATCTGTGATTTATATGCTACTGTTTATCATGTCCATATTTTACGTGAATATTGTGTAATGAATTTGAAGCGTAAAAATTTAAACGCAATGTGGGATTGTTGAGATGATTTGGGCATGTAGAGAAGAGGTATTGACAAATAGGGTGTATAAATTTAGGGTGAAAGGTAGAAGGGGTAAGGTTTATTCCAAGAGTGGTTATTGAATAAATTGAATTAAGTTTTCTTAATAAAGATTTATACAGATTAAAATATATGACATTGCATTCTAATAATTTCTTTCTTTCTATTCTAGGTTTGGCCACAGCCTTGATGTGATCCCATCAGTTGAAAACAGTAGATTTGCTTAGTTGCACTACACCCATGATAACAAACATCCCATACACAGCACCATCTCACAGATTGTTTAATTTATGAAACTTGAAAAATTATCATAGACACTACAAGTAAAACCTATGAAAAGTTTTAATCACATTCATTTAGCATTAATTTGTTTTGCCCTCTGACCTGTTAAAATCTCAGAGGAGTTAATTTTGAATAGAAATACTATATCTTATTTTTCTTTTTTTAACCCTTTCAGGGTCCGTCCCGTAGATCTACGGCTTTACGGTGAGTGTCCAAACCGTAGATCTACGCCATGAGCTCAGCTCACTCTGATAAACTGTGAGTGGTACATTTGGGCCTAGATATGAGAGAATACATCTATGTGGTATGTGTGCACTACATAAAACAGATCCTGCAGCAGACTGTGTATAATGAGAGAAAAAAACTGAAATCATGATTTTTCGATTAAAACAGCAACTTTGCAGTGTTTTTTCGTATGTTTTTTATAGTTGTATTTGCGATTTCTTGGTCTCATTTGATAGAATGGAAGACATATTACAGAAATAGAGATGATTTTGATTGGTTTTAGCACTGGAAATGGCTTGAAACTGAGCTCAAAGTAGCAGAAATGTTAAATTTTTGCCGATATTCAAGAGTAAACAAACGACCTCACACATCTAATACACGTCAGCTGGTGGGTCTAATATACATTCACAAATATGGTGAAGATATTTATACAATTATTACAGTATTGCATAACAGTAAATCTTCTATTTTTTGTGTGAATAAAAATTCATTATGTGAATAAAAAATCAAAATGGAATTTATTTGTAAAGCCTCAAAACATAACTAACGAACAGAGGAAATGTTAGTTTAGTGCCAGGAATGCCTACATTTTATTCTGGACCCTATTTTGAAATTGAAATATTTTGAACTTTGTGTTAAATTGGCCAAATTGACAATTTCCGATCACTTTATTTTGTAGTTGAAACAGTTGACTTGGCGATTTCTTGTGCTCAATCGATAGAATAGAAGTAATACTAGTGAAATAGCTAAGAATTTGGTTGATTGGAATAATGTAATTGGCCTAAAATGGGAGTCAAAGTCGGCAAAATCGCCGATTCGTAAATATCGCTGACACATCAAAATTCGCGAGAGCATAATTTCGTCAATTTTCCACCAAATTTCGTACTTTTTGTTTTATTACCTTCACAAAAAGATTCTCTACGATTTCATAAGAAAAAATAACAATTTTTTTTTTTGAAAATTCTTGGACACTGGTGCGTGACTCCAGATTTGGGCCTTGGACCCTGAAAGGGTTAAGCTAATGCTGACATTTGTTCAAGGCTGTTAATGATATCCCTATGGTTCAACATGAGGTGCTTATAAAGTTAAGACAGTAGGTTACTATTATTAACTGACGAGCTACATTAAAGATTGAATGTGCAGAATTAGAGGCTTTGGAGCAAACCTGTCTGCTGTATAATGAGCATTATCTGAAAAATCAGTAAATCAGAGGCCACATTTACTCACAGAACTGTTTAATCCATGTAAGTATGTCAGTCAGGTTTGTTAGCAAGATATACAGCCTGTTTAAGAAAGGTTTATTTATATTTGACAGTTTTCAGCCAAAGTAATCCTCTGAAGCTCAGGTTCTTTTATCACTTCTGTGAAAAGATATATTATTATTATAATCAAAAAGAAGCGCTAAGCCACAAGGGCTATACAGCGAAAAGATATAAATCATACTAATGCAGACAGCTTGAATTTGTTCATGATCCTTTCAGAGAGATAAACATAACAAATTTATAGCTGTGCTCATTTCATAATCTCTATTTAACACATGTTAATGCCTTGCAGTGAAAAGTAACATACAAGAGCTTAGTAATAAAAGTCTTAAGTAGTATTTTATTAGCAGAAATAATGTAGCAAAACAACTAAAACAGGAATTATAAATGGGGAGAATAAATGTTTTTTCTGGAACATTATGTTAATGTATCAAGAAACATTAAGCTCATAACCAGACATGACAAGAGATTCTAAAAACAAGTTTACCATAAAACATTTTACCAGACAAGTACAGGGCTAGGAAGAGATGATTCAGTTATTTATCTATGCAAACATGTTATATCCCTAACGTGTAGATGTCAAAATTTTATCTACCTTTTTTATATCTGGAAGACACAGTATTATATAGTATAATTCTGGCAACAGTTTAGTTTGCAACCACTTCATTACTATTATTAATTGTCATCTTGCACTATATTAGCCCTAAATATAAGAAGCCAGTTTTGCAGAACCAGATTAATAAGTTGAAAATTAACACACAATTTTTTTAGCTCCTGTATTTATAAGAATCAGTATAAAAAAAAATTTTGCAATTATTATACTTTCAGTTAATATGATGATGCAGCAGCTATGTGCAACATTCACTTCATTTTGGCAGTTATTTTATGTATTTTAAAAAATAATTTATAAATGTTCCAGCTAATAGGTTATGACTGCAACTAGTTTAAACTGCAAGCACTATTTTCCTACAAGGAATAAATCAACTTGTGCTTGACTTAAGAGCAATATTAGCTGCATCACTGTCAAATGATGTCATCTGCATCTCTCCCTATTTTTTTTTTTTATACATTTTAAATAAAAGTTTGAAATTGCTTCATGACTTGTCTCTGAATTAGTCCTCATTTATATTATACAAATAATATTTTTAGCATTGTTTAAGTTGATAAATTTTTAGATGTGATGAATTGGTGCAGCTGTTCTTTCCCAAAGTTTAAACAGCAGTTGGGAGAATGAAGTAAGTTTTAAGAGATCACAAGAATAAATGTCACATTCTGTGGGATTAACATTCACAGCTAACTCAAATTAGCACTATAAACCAGGCGACGTTTGTTCATCTTGGTCCATTATCGTGTTGCAAGTGACTTCATGATAGTCCAGGACTAACCAAAATTTTGCCTAGTTTTTGTTTCTAATTTGTGTTTATTTTTTGTGATTGAGTAGATCGCAATAAGCTGTAAGAAGAGTCATTAAGGAATCTTGTTTGCTTTTACTTTGATTATTTTATACTAAGGCACAAGATGAAAAATCTTAATGTGCATTTTTAGGAGCAAGATGTGATAAAGATTTAATTAGAGGTAGCATAAATGTGTTTTAATTTGTAACAGTAGATGGTTACTTTTCAAGGAATATAGGCATTTTGTAAAACAAATTAGGAGGCATATAAATCTAACCAAGAAATGGAATGTTTGTTGTAAAGTAATGGCTGGTACATGTTAAGTTTATAACTGCAGCAGCTCTTTTGTGAAGAACTTGCATCTCAGACAGTCTGTATGTACTCTACTCATTCATCCATAACCACATCAAATGTTAATTCCATAACCCGTTTTTATATATATATATATATATATACAGTGGACCCCCGGTTAACGATCACCTCCAAATGCGACCAATTATGTAAGTGTATTTATGTAAGTGCGTTTGTACGTGTATGTTTGGGGGTGTGAAATGGACTAATCTACTTCACAATATTCCTTATGGGAACAAATTCGGTCAGTACTGGCACCTGAACATACTTTTGGAATGAAAAAATATCGTTAACCGGGGGTCCACTGTATATTAGTCATAAAATTAGCAAGTTAATTGATCCTAATGTAATAAATTTTTGAAGATAATTGCATTAAAAGAAATTAATATGAACATAAGATGATCTATGAAGTTAGGGGCAGAAAGAATAACTCGTAGAAATTAGGCATTCATGTTTTGCATACAATATATCAACTGGAAGAACAGTTTAAAAGAAGTGCTTAGTACTGTTTTTGCATAAGAAAGCTTTGTGTAGGACCTTCAAGGGTAAGACTCAGGTAAAATTAGCACATTGTATAGTTATCTAAGCCTTAGTGAGATTATTCTTGTGTTGAGACATGTCTAGTTATTCAGTGAAAACAGAAACCTTAATTCAGGTGGAGTTTCAGCAGTTTTCATGTTACATTTTCATTCATAAACATCCACTTGTTACATTTTCATTCATAAACATCCTCTTGTTACATTTTCATTCATAAACATCCACTTGTTACATTTTCATTCATAAACATCCACTTGTTACATTTTCATTCATAAACATCCACTTGTTACATTTTCATTCATAAACATCCACTTGTTACATTTTCATTCATAAACATCCACTTGTTACATTTTTATTCATAAACATCCACTTGTTACATTTTCATTCATAAACATCCTCTTGTTACATTTTTATTCATAAACATCCACTTGTTACATTTTCATTCATAAACATCCACTTGTTACATTTTCATTCATAAACATCCTCTTGTTACATTTTTATTCATAAACATCCACTTGTTACATTTTCATTCATAAACATCCTCTTGTTACATTTTCATTCGTAAACATCCACTTGTTACATTTTCATTCGAAAAACATCCACTTGTTACATTTTTATTCATAAACATCCTCTTGTTACATTTTCATTCGTAAACATCCACTTGTTACATTTTCATTCGTAAACATCCACTTGTTACATTTTTATTCATAAACATCCTCTTGTTACATTTTCATTCATAAACATCCACTTGTTACATTTTTATTCATAAACATCCTCTTGTTACATTTTCATTCATAAACATCCACTTGTTACTTTTTTCATTCATAAACATCCACTTGTTACATTTTTATTCATAAACATCCTCTTGTTACATTTTCATTCATAAACATCCACTTGTTACATTTTTATTCATAAACATCCACTTGTTACATTTTCTATTTCAAAAATATTTGTCTTTGCTTGAGACATAACACTGAATATCTTTTGGTTATGTACTTTGTAACAGAAGCTCAACAAGGCATAGACTTAGTTAAAATTGTTTAATGCTTCTTCATCGTCTGATGTGCAGTTCTGTTGTATTACCTATTTATTTACAGAATAAAATTTTATACTGCCAAGTTTTTCTTAAAATATGATGATTTTCCCCACCCCTTCCCCAACATACTTCAACTTTGAAGACTGTGTTGGCCAACTTGCAGAAGAGGATAATGTCAGTGTGTGGAACTCAGGTTGAGAGGATAAAAACCTGGGCCTATAGTTCTAATAAATGTTTTTTTTTTTTTTTTTTTATCTCTCAACAAGTTGGTCGTCTCCCACCGAGGCAGGGTGACCCAAAAAAGAAAGAAAATCCCCAAAAAGAAAATACTTTCATCATCATTCAACACTTTCACCACACTCACACATTATCACTGTTTTTGCAGAGGTGCTCAGAATACAACAGTTTAGAAGCATATACGTATAAAGATACACAACATATCCCTCCAAACTGCCAATATCCCAAACCCCTCCTTTAAAGTGCAGGCATTGTACTTCCCATTTCCAGGACTCAAGTCTGACTATATGAAAATAACCGGTTTTCCTGAATCCCTTCACTAAATATTACCCTGCTCACACTCCAACAGATCGTCAGGTCCCAAGTATCATTCGTCTCCATTCACTCCTATCTAACACGCTCATGCACGCTTGCTGGAAGTCCAAGCCCCTCGCCCACAAAACCTCTTTTACCCCCTCTTTCCAACCCTTTCGAGGACGACCCCTACCCCTCTTTCCTTCCCCTATAGATTTATATGCTTTCCCTGTCATTCTACTTTGATCCACTCTCTCTAAATGACCAAACCACCTCAACAACCCCTCTTCTGCCCTCTGACTAATGCTTTTATTAACTCCACACCTTCTCCTAATTTCCACACTCCGAATTTTCTACATAATATTTACACACACATTGCCCTTAGACAGGACATCCTCCACTGCCTCCAACCGTCTCTTCGCTGCTGCATTTACCACCCAAGCTTCACATCCATATAAGAGTGTTGGTACTACTGTACTTTCATACATTCCCTTCTTTGCCTCCTAGATAACGTTTTTTGACTCCACGTATACCTCAACGCACCACTCACCATTTTTCCCTCGTCAATTCTATGATTAACCTCATCCTTCATAAATCCATCCGCCGACACGTCAACTCCCAAGTATCTGAAAACATTCACTTCTTCCCTACTCCTTTCCCCCCCAATTTGATATCCAATTTTTCTTTATCTAAATCATTTGATACCCTCATCACCTTACTCTTTTCTATGTTCACTTTCAACTTTCTACCTTTACACACATTCTCAAACTCATCCACTAACCTTTGCAATTTTTCTTTAGAATCTCCCATAAGCACAGTTTCATCAGCAAAAAGTAACTGTGTCAATTCCCATTTTGAATTTGATTCCCCCTAATTTAATCCCACCCCTCTCCCGAACACCCTAGCATTTACTTCTTTTACAACCCATCTATAAATATATTAAACAACCATGGTGACATTACACATCCCTGTCTAAGACCTACTTTTACCGGGAAGTAATCTCCCTCTCTTCCCCCTTTTTCACCCCCATAAATCCAGCTTTGTTTCCCATTTTCCCATTCATCCCCATCCTGGATACATTTTTTCCCCAAAAATCCTTTTTTTAAACCAAATTTTTCCCCTTTCATAAAAACCCTTTTTACTTTTTTCTTCAAAACCCCAAATTTTTCCCCCCTTTTTCAATTTAAAAAATTTTTCCCCCCCTTTCCCCCTTAACATAAAAAACCTGAATATTTTTTTTTGGTTTTGGTTTTTTGGGAAAAAATCCAAACCCAAGGAAAAGACTTAAGTAAAATTTGGGTTTAAGAATCCTTTGTTGAGGAGTTTTCTAAATTGGGGGTATTCCATTTAATTTACAAAAAAAAATAACCCTGGCCTTTTTTCCCAAAAAAAATATAAAAAATTTCCCCCACCCCCCCCAAAAAATTTTTCAAACAAAGATGGGTTGGAAATTGGAAGGGGATTTTTTGGGTGGGGTTAAAAAAAAACCGGGTAGAGGAAAACCCTGGCCGATTCAAAATTAAAGGGCTTTTTTTTTTTTTTAAATTTAAAAATGCCTTCCCCCCGGAAGGGTGAATTTTAAAGGCCCCAAAAAGAAAAACTTTCCACCCCTTTAAACATTTCAAACCAAAAACCAAAAATTTCAGGTTTTTAAAAAAAGAGGGCTAAATAACAACCGTTTTTTTAAAAAGGCCATTCGGAAAAAACCCAACAAAAATTCCCCCCAAAAGGGAAATTACCCGGGCCCCTCCTTTAAGGCAGGCTTTCTTCCCATTTCCAAGCAACGGGTATTGAAAATAACCTTTTTTTGTTTTCCCCTTCCTAAATATCCCGCCAACTCCCAAAAAAATGCCCTCCCCAATTTTTTGTCTTTAAAAAACTAAAGGCTAGCACGGGTTTTTTTAAAGGTTCCCAAAGCCCCTTGGGTTCCAAAACAAAAAATTTTTTAATCCCCTTTTTTCCAACCCTTGGGACCCCCTACCCCTCCCTTTATAATTTTATTTTTTTTGGTAAGTTTGTTTTAAAAATCCACCCCTCCCCTAAAGGGGAACCAAACCAAATTTCAAAACCCCCTCTGTTTAAAAAATGCTTTTAAATTTCCAAAAAACCTCCCCAAAATTTACATCCAATTTTACCTAATTTTAAACCAAAAAACCCCTTGGGGGAAGGGACAAAAGGTTTCCCCCTCTCTTGGGGAATTTCCAAAGTTAACAAAATTTTAAGGGTTTGGGGCAAAACACTAATTTTT